TAAGAATTAGAAGCGGTCACACTGGTGTCGTCAACTGCTCAAAATTAATTAAAGAGTTTAGACATTGACGTACTTGGAGACGAAGTAATTGCAATAAGAACTTATAACATAAATCTCGCTTATGCCGCATACCTACTCTTTAAAACAGCCTCCAAAGCTGATAGCTGTTCCACATTTCCGGTTCGAAGATCTTCGAAAGCGTCCTTGAGAAACACTAAACAAATTCGTTTAAACAAGACCACTCAACAACTGCCTTCCAAACGAGACCTGTATCTGCGTGAAACTGTCTAGCGACATCCTTTGAGTATGAAGATGGATCACCAACTGATGTAACAAACTCAGTGATTACATTATTTGCCACATCTGATACAGTCTTTTTGAAAAGGTCATCACCTAAATGAATCAGTGGGTTTGTTTTGTTGATAATTTTACTCATATGGGCACATGCACCAGCTTGATATTTACCTTCAAATTTCTTTTTTAATGCCACGTAGAATGAGTGAACCACGTTGTCATCGAGAAAGAATTGTTCCCAAAGATGGAAAAGTTGCAGTAGTTCCTTAAAGCGTTAAGAACCTTTATGACAGCGCAAAATTTTTCTAAATTTTGCATTATTGCAAAATTTTAAGAGTGCGAATTTTCAAGAACATATTATGAATCTTATCAAGGGCAACTACTTCGCAGTAAAGGAGTGAACAAGGTTCGTTCGAAAAAAACAGCGCACACTGAAAGTGAGCCACATCGCGCCAGTTCCACAGTAGGTAACAATTGTAAATCTGGATTCCAATCTAGGAAAATAAATTGTCGATTAAGTTTTCTATTGGCTTGAGCATCCAATTTCAATCACTTACAACAATACGAATTCATAGAACAAGTAAAGTGCACCCTTTTTTTCTACCTTCGTATAATATATCATATGCTGTCAAACTTACGGTTTCTTAGAACATTTTTGAACTGAGAAAAAATGCCATGAACTTATCCGACAATTCGATATATCGTTAATAACTCTTTCATTCCCGAATACTTAGCTTAATCTTGTCTGGTCATGCATTTTCGTCCTGTTCGCAGTCACCAGACTTTTCGTTGGAATTTCGTTCTGTTGTTTGGCTTCCCCTCTCCTATTTACATGCCCACACCAATGAAGACCATTCTCTAGGTTTTCTG